CCAGGAGGTGGGATTGGGGTGGTCCCTGGGGGCAGGGCCAGCCAGAAGGCTGCCCCTCCAGGATGAGTTTGCTGTGCCCGAGAGTCCAAGACACAAGGTGGGGCAAGGGCAGCCTCAGGGAAGGGCCAGGGGGCCTGGGGACTGGGGGAGCGCCGTCTGAGATCCCAACAGGCTTGGGGTCCTACTGACCCAGCGCTGCCAATGCCTGCCAGGAGAGGCCAGCGGCTGGATCCGCGGGGACACACAGCGGCCTCTGCTGGAAGGCCTGGGAACGGCGTGTGGGGCAGGTAGGCAGAACCCTCCAGCCCGAAGGCCCCTCCGCCTCCTGGTGGAACAAGCCCTGGAGACCTTGGACAGGGCAGGGTGGGCACAGATCTCAGCTGGCATCATCCTGGGACCCAGGAGCCAGATGAGATGGACTGGGCTTCCTTTCCTGTCCTGGGGAGGTCTGCCCATCCCTAGCCCTGGCAGCTGATAGCTTTACCTTTTCTACGGTTTCCCATAGATGGCTCCACGGTCAGGAGTTGTGTCTTTGTATTGCTCTGTGGTATCCAATTGTGTGGATGGACCTCCATTCTCTGTTGATGGACAGTTGAGTAGGTTCCATTTTCTGCCTGTGATGACTTAAGCTGCTGAGAACATGTGCCCATGGGTCTTTGCATGAACAAGTTGTCTTTTCTCTGGGGTAAATGGCGAGGAGTGGGGCTGCTGGGTCATGTGGCGAGTGGGGGTCTACCTTGTCAGAAACCACTGAGCTGTTTTCCAGACTTGCCCCCACCCCACTCTTCTAAGGAAGAAGTTATTTCCAAACTAGTGCATTAAAATTTTTTTATTCTATAAAGACACTTTTGCTATGCAGAACATAAACTGTGTAACACGCATGAAAGGGGCAAAGGTAGCCTTCAGGAGGGCACCTGGAGAGCCCTGGGGCTGCAGAGCAAGGACGGCTGTCCTCTTCCCGCCCTCCCAGGCTGGCTTCTGCACTTACCATCCAGACGTACCCTGGCCTACATGATGGTGTTCATTTGTAAAAGCTTTTTTTGGGGGGGACCAGGGATTGAACTCAGGGGCATTTTAACACAGAGCCACAGCCCCAACCCGATTTTGTATTTTATTTAGAGGCAGGGACTCACTTTGCTGAGGCTGGCTTTGACTTGTGGTCCTCCTGCCTCAGCCTCCTGGGCTGCTGGGATTACGAGAGGTGCCGCTGTGCCTGGTATTTCAAACTTTTTAAGTAATTTAACTGCACAACTTTTTTTTTTTTTTTCCGATTTAACATTTTCTGTCAAAGGAATCATCCAGGCCACCATACAGCAAGAGTCCCCAGGTTGTTCAAGTTGTCCAGCCATCTGCCCACTGGTTAGACTGGGGCAATCCACCCACCCTGTTACTGACAGAGAGTTGAATCCCCCCCACTCGTGCTTTGCAATGACAGCGGTCTCTCCTTATCCCTGGGGACACCGTCCAAGATGCTCCCCCCACCGCCCCATGCCTTAGACCACGGCAATGTCAAGCCCTCTGTGTTCCACATTTTCCACACCTTCTACAGATTGTTTTGTGGTGCTGCGGTAGGACCCAGGACCTTGCCTGTGCTGACTTACAAGCCCAGATCCTTGTGTTTTTCTTTCCTACACAAATACATCCCTGATGGAGTTTAATTCACACTTTAGGCTCAGAAAGTGATTAACAATAACAATAAAATAGAGTAATTATAACAATATGCTGTAATAAAAAGTTCGTTAAAATGTAAGAATTGTTTGTTCTGGAATTTTCCACTTAATATTTTTGGACCACATTTGATTTGTGTAACTGAAACTGTGAAAAGCACATTCCTGAACAAGGGGGGTGCCATGCACCCTTGCAGCTATAGACGCTCTGCTCGATGCCCCTGGCTCTACATGGGCAGGCAGCTGTCCCCTTGATGTGGCATGTCTGAGTGGCTGGGTCACAGTGAGAACAGACAGGATAATTCTCCTCCACCTCCTTCACCAGGACTTCTCTTGTCCCCTGAGTCCCCACAGGCTGCTAGTTTCTATGATAGGCTTGTATGTCATTCCATTCTCAAAATCATACTGTAAGGAGGTACGTATTGTTTGCCCCATTTTACAGACTAGGATTTGAAGCCTCAGAGAGATTAAGTCACTTGCCCAAGGTTACACAGCTAAAAAATTAGGGCAAAGCCAGGAATAGTGGCAGATGTCTGTAATCCCAGTGACTCAGGAGGCTGAGGCTGGAGGATCGAAAGTTCAGGGACAGACTGGGTGACTTAGTGAGAACTTGCCTCAAAAAAAGATAAAACAAACAAACAAACAAAAAAAGGGTCTGGGGATGTAACTCAGTGTCAGAGTGCCCCTGGGTTCGATCCCTAGTACCAACACAAAGTAGAGACAGAGTCCAACCCCCAACAGCATAGGACCAATTCCTTGCTCTTAAGTGTACCCTCTTTCCACTCCCAGCAAACACTGTGTCCTGGTGCACATCTCTGGATCCGTAGAGGCTGTCTTTTGTTGGTCTGTTCTTTTCAGTTACCGCGACAGTGGAATGAATTTTGACATACACACCTGGAGTGTACCTTCCCGTTCTCGTGGCTGAACACGATGTGGAGTCACACTGTCGAGTATTCCTGTGTGAACATGGGAAGTTATTCTGATTCCTTCCACTGTCCTGTGGAGGCTGTCTGTGGAGGCCGGCTTTTGGACCACAACCGACTTAGGTGTTCCCTGACAAGCGCGGGCACCTCCTCACGCTGGTGTTACAATCTGCAGAGACTGAGAAGAGACAGGTCTGCACAGAGCTCCGCCTTCCCTCAGCCTCCACGGGGCCCAGGCGTGGCAGGCTGGTCCCTCCATGACCTGGTGCTTCTGGTCACAGAGAAGCTTCAGCACAGGGAGGCCCCACCCCGCCTTGCTCCTGGCTCACTTGCTCCTAAGTGGCCATGAGGGACATCATTTCTCTTCAGTCACAGAACCCTGCTGCGTCGTCCATCTGTCCCTGCAAACGGCCCATCAACTCAGCCCGTTCACATGCAGCAAGAGAAATGAATCGGAGGAGGGAGGATCTTTTTTCCGGGGGTTAAACACCCAGTTTGAGGTAAAACAAATTCCTTGCTGGGGCTCCCTCCTCCAGCTGAGCAGGGACAGGCTTCATTTCGCAGTGGACGAAGTTAAGGTGGGGAGCAGGCTGATCTGCACTTCTGCAGGCCAGTCTCTGGGCACAAATCTCCAGGCTGGTGGCAACCTGGAGGCCAGGGCCATGGGATCCGGTGGCAGCCCCCATCTCTTTGGATCCCCTGAAGACATGCAGGGTGCTGGGCTCAGTGCTTCAGGGTCCACATTCGAGGTCAGAGGGAAGGTGCCCTGGGCCTCTGCTTGGAGCCCCCAGTAAGCTGGTGAGTAGAGAGCCAGGCCAGGAGAGGCCACATGGGACTGAGAACGCGGGGAGCCTGGGAGAACCAGGGTCAGCCTACAGGAGACCCAGTCCCGTCCCCCACCCTGCAAGAAGTGGGCATCTGGGGACCCACTGTGCTAGCATTTGTGACCAGCCCGTCATCTCCCACCTAGTGACCTGGCAGTCTCCTTGACTCCTCCAGCCCCGGCTCCATCGCTCTTGCTTGGCCACTGGGTGAATCCAACCCTCTGCACAGACTCTTGTCCCCAGGGAAG